CGGGGAGGTCGTGTGTGCTGTCACGATCTCGAATCCGACCAAGTATGTATACACCGGCGGCAAGGGCTGCGTCAAGGTCTGGGACATCGGCCAGGGCGGCACGGGAACGACTAAATCTGTGTCACAGCTCGACTGCCTACAACCTGATAACTATATCAGGTCAGTAATTATTTTTTACATTTACTGTTTAAACTATTTTCTGCTTAATATTATCAGATTACAAAAATGACGAAGCAAGTGATTTATGTAATTTTTTCGTTGCGTTTTTATTGATCTTCAAGTTGATAAAATATGCGCGGAATGTTGTAATAAAATAATAAAACTACACATCTGCAGTAGAAACAAGGAAATTAAAACTATACGTATAAATGGTTCTAGAAAATTATAATTATTTATACATCACTATACTTAGAATAAATATTTAAAGCGATTGATATTCGCGCCGATTAATACTTTCATCAAGAATTTTGGAAGCTTATCACTTATGTGCATAATATAATTAATATTTTGTTAAAAAAAAAACAATTATGATACTCCATCAATCGAATACAATGTTTTATCTTATCGAATACTTTTATGACAACACCGTCCGGGATAATCGCGAATGAAATTATGCAAGATTCACTTTATTTGCAAATCAGATCAGCGAGAATCAAGCGATTAAATTAAAACGATTAAATTGGCGTGCATACGTGGATATTGGTAGGGGAATCGGAAAAAATTGCCGGCAGCGAATGAAACATAGCGTAATGAGATTCGATGTATTCCGCTCACGGAACATTGAAAAATCACAGCGAAACGTCGGTCATGTTCTCGCTGTACGAGCGCAAGAGGGATGGAGGAAGAGTGGTTAGAGGCGGGTGCTATGGTGCAATGTTTTCGCGATGCATTTTGGTGCGCGCTGCACGTTTTAACGTGAATGCGGCCGGTATAATATCGCGCTTGTATGACTCTTAATGTCCGCGATACATGGCGGTAATTGAAGCCAGCCAGGTTTTTTGATCGCGTGTCCGAGAGAGAGCTACCGGTAAATTTAATACATTTCATCGGTAATGCACCGGCTCTACCCGATCCACCCCCCGCGTGCCCCTCTCGCATTAAAAAGTACTTTATGATCCATCGGTCACAGTTGCTAATCACGAGCCTACGATACGGCGTAAACGTTCGACCGCGCAAAAATGATTACCCCTTTTAAAACTCTGCCAAACCAGTCGAAATGACCGCGTTCGTTGCTCGGATAAACGTTTCTCTTAATAAGAATATTGTTACTGTTTTGCAGAAACAGATATAGAAATCATAGGTATTTTTCTTTTACAGATACGTATATTGATCTATATTTAGGTAATCATTTGATTATGTACAATCTTTACGATATCAATTCTGAATTCTCTTGGTAGAAAAGTTTTACGATATTGAAAAAAATTGTAGGCCTTTGAACTCTTGTAGTTTTATGATAAGAAGCATTTAACGCATTCTATCTAAGCTCATGCAAAGTATTTCTGAAAAGAAATTAAACCATTTATATTAAGGCACAGTTCTTTCGCGATACGAATAGTACAATGCCATCGCACGCGCAATGATATACCCTCTTTGCCACTAAAAGGGTTAAAATGAGCTCGATGCCATCAAGTATAGTTTATTAAAACAAAAAACCTTTTAATAAATAGGTACCTATATTTATATTTGGAAATCATTCTCGAATACAAAACATATATTTCCGAATCCCACTGTACATCGCGTACGTGTAACTTGTCTAGGTCGGTGAAGTTGTTACCGGACGGCAGGACACTGATAGTCGGTGGCGAAGCCAGCCGGCTGAGTATCTGGGATCTGGCCAGCCCAACGCCAAGGATCAAGGCCGAGTTGATCTCGTCCGCCCCCGCGTGCTACGCTCTGGCCATCTCGCCGGACTCGAAGGTCTGCTTCAGTTGCTGCAGCGACGGCAGCATTGCCGTCTGGGATCTCCAGAATCAGTCTTTGGTCAGGCAGTTCCAAGGTCACACAGACGGTGCCTCGTGCATCGATATTTCCGCTGACGGGTCGAAATTGTGGACCGGAGGGCTGGACAACACTGTGCGCTCATGGGACCTTAGGGAGGGTAGACAGTTAAAGCAACACGACTTCACCTCGCAGATATTTTCCCTCGGTTACTGTCCCACGGGAGAGTGGTTGGCGGTGGGGATGGAGAACTCGAACGTCGAGGTGTTAAACGCTACCACACCGGACAAATATCAGCTGCACCTGCACGAGTCCTGTGTACTATCGCTGAGATTCGCGTCCTGTGGCAAGTGGTTCGTTTCCACTGGCAAGGACAATTTGTTGAACGCTTGGCGCACGCCTTATGGAGCTTCGATATTCCAGGTTAGCATGTATACTATAATTCAATATTGAGAAATTCCATTATCGGTAAATTTACATATAGAAATTTACCAAACTAGACGTTATACAAAAATTAGTACTTGTCTTTATTTATCAGTACAATTATTAAAATGCACTGTTTTTTGAATTAGATAAGTCTTATTGTGTTAATATTATATTTTAAACCGACAATCTGAGTTCCCTATAAAACTAAAAAGTTACATTACTTCTTACTTTCTTTAAGTAGCTTTAAATTTTTATTTTAACATTTTTTTATGATATTCTGTATCAGAATCAAATTACATATCTTTTTAAAAAATCTTCTCATTTTTGTAAACATGTTTCACATGTTCAATACGAAAACGATTTTTTGCACTGTTCACAGTCGAAGGAATCGTCGTCGGTGCTCAGTTGCGACATATCCGCGGATGACAGGTACATCGTTACCGGTTCCGGTGATAAGAAGGCAACCGTTTACGAAGTTATGTACTGAACGGTCGAAACCGTGACTGGTCGAACGTATATATTCATTTCGAACGTGGAAAGAAGATGCTCTCCGTGCAACGTGGGTGTACATAGTTTTTACACGATATCACGGAAGACATTTGTTGCCGTTGTTCTTGTTATTGTTGTTGCTCTTGGTAAAGAAGAGTCAGTGCAAAGAGTGAAACGAGTTAAACAAAGCGGAGTAGTAAAGTATTATATAAATGAATTATAATCATGATAAACCGCGTGATTATTCTGAACGACATTTGAGAAGAGAACTCGTACTTTATCCGCGACTTTAAACGGGTGTGCTAAAAGAATCTAGATTTTCTGTGACAATAGATAAAGTGATTGTGTTTTTGAATCGTGGTCAATAGACTTTGAATTATTGATCTTTCTGTTCAACAAACAAAATGCTGGCACTCATACTGCGTTTTCCGCTGTACATTTTGTATATACATATACATATATATACATTATACATATATATACATACGTACATCAGTCTTTAGCATGATATTTTTCTACGTCCCCTGAAAGCGAGACGGGAAGTGAGTAGCGAAGAAAACGAAATTCACTGAAATTTGTACATACTATCTGGCTTAGAGAATTATATCAGAGTCGTGAAGAAAGACGATTAAATAAAAAAAGTGATTCTCAATAACCAAACCCGGCGATTAGATTCATTTTCCCAGTTGTGAATCCTGTGCAAAAACCGTCATCGAAAACAACAGAAACAAACCGATAAAAAGAGAATCGAGAAACAATGCGGGGACATAAAGTTCAGCGATGAAATAGGAAGTAAAAAAAAAAAAAAAATAGCAAACATAATAATTTCATCCCCGGCGCAAGGTTATTCATCCAGAAGGTATGTATGAAATAAAAATCACTGGCAAATGTTATCTTGACCAAGATTTGTAATATAAAAATGCTTGCGCGTAAAAGACCACTTTGCGCCGCAAACATTCGAAATCGTTCGAACGGACGAACGAATAAACGGCGGGCGGCGCGGCGCGCGGCCTCCCGTTATAGCAGCGGTCATCGAAACAACTATAAAACAAGGGGGTGGCAGTCGGACGCGCGTGCAGCCCTGGTTCTCGTGGTCATAAACGCGTCAACGGTCGTGACCAGAGCGTGGACAGAGAGGCGGTAAAGAGTGAGAGATCACGCGACGCGACGTCAACAATATTTAGTCACAGCGTTCCGGTATGGCGCGATGCGGCGGGGCACGGCGTATCGCGTCGTGAAAATTACGACACCGTTTTGCCGATAAAAAAAAGGAGAGAAAAAAACGAAACCGCGTACGTGTCAGGCGGCGCGTCGCGGTGATTCGTTTGCCCCGCGTTTCACACGATTTCCACGGGAAACGAATTGCGGCGAACACGATGGTCGCGGATGTGAACGGAATAATAAAAAAAATAGAGAACCAGGTGACTCCTGGAAACACCGGCAGCAGTTGAAAGGAAACATAAAATGACGCGTTAAACTGTGTTTCGACTAAACGAACAATGACGCGAAATTATTATAAAAATGTTATTTAAACGAATATCAATAAACAAGTGATTCAGCATAGATAATTATTTGAAATTTCGGAAAACGAATGATACAATGTTTTCACCTTTATTTATTTGATAGAATTATGCCTTTAGCGATGTTTTGGGAATCGCGCAATTTTAGAGCACCGTGCGAATCACGCCATTCGGTAGATAATTAGCGATGCAATCCACGCTCTCGCGGAACGCATATTCAATGGAGGGTTCATCGGCGTAATGTTATTATAATAGTGGCACGTTTTGCATATGTGACTGGGTAGCAGAAGGTGGGGCGGCGAGAATGGACGCTGCGTAGGAGTAGAGTGCGAGAGAGGAAGAGTATACGAAGGAGGAGAGAGAGAGCATGAACGCGACGGTGCGTGGCGCAGCGCGGATTGGCGTGGCGGGATGAAGGGGAAAGCAAAATGAACCGGAGGGTGAGGGCGATTTTACACGGGCTTTGCCGCACGCGAAGCGTATTTGCATGGTAATGATATGCGGCACGGCAGGATCGGTGGAGCTTCACTGGCGGCAATGGGTAAGTGCGGTGGTGGAAGCACGAATTGGTGCCGATGGAAGGGTTAACGCAATGTCGGGGTGGGGTGCGGCGGAGCGCCGATGGTATTTCGTGCACAAGTTTTGAATGTCGCGGCTAAATGCATCAGTTATTACGGTTAATTCAGTGAACGGAGAAGCGGACGGCCAGCCGCGGCTTTATTTATTCCCGCGCACGCTCTTTCGTTCTCATTCTCGTTTTCGTTTCGTTAACTCGTTGAGATATTACTTGTAGAATTGTTTCATGCGGTGCATAACGGAGATAAAATCTATTAGAACCTTTTTAATTAAGTGAATCCTTTACTTTTTCTTTTCTCAATTGCATGTTCCTGTTTGCTAACTAACCGACTGATTCTAATAATAAAATTGCGAACTTGGATTAATATTGATACCTCTAGGAGTCATTAATTCGATCGTTCACATCGTGGAAATTTATTTAACGGTAAAGTGATTAACGAGCACCGAAGTCTGTTGGTTCGATCGTCAAACGATGCGTAACAACTTGATCGATCAATCGCGTTTGGTTGGCTCGGTTCGAAGTGGCATGACGCGACGGCTGGACCAGACCTCTAGATCGGTCGTTTTATTTCGCCAGAAAACACAGTTTTCAACGCATTCAGCCGTGTCGCCTAGCGTGTTTTCCAGGAACGAATACGCGGCGACCCAACGCAAGCGCGATCGTGGACGGTTTGATCGATAGCAATCGCGTTTGGACACTGTATAATCTCTATTTTACGCACAAAACGGACGGAGTAACGGCAATAATAAGCGCACCACCGGCTATCATTGGTCACGTAACTTGAACTATTTGTGTCGCAAGCCTCTCTGTCCCATTACATCGATGTCCAATTTCGTGAAAACCCGTGTACCTCTTTCTCCCTCGTACCGAGTACCATGTCATACAAACGATTTTAGTGATTCTACCTCGACAACACAAAGACCAGTACACATTATAAAAGTGAGAATCCCTAAATTCCTACCCAGTATTCTCATTTCATTAGATATTTCTTATCATAAATTGTGCCAAAATGGATACATGAGGCGAGAAATCTTATGGTCTGGAATTTCATGATTTCACTGCATGATGTTCCTTTGCAATATTATTTCCCGAATACCGGAGAATTGTTTCGAGCGTTGAGAACTGATAGGATGAGATACTGGTTAATAGATTTATTTTTTTTAAATGAATATTTCAGTTTTTAATATACGGAAGACTGACTAAGTTCTTCTATTTGTTTAATCTGGGTCTACTAGAAAATATTGAAAAGAAAATACCTGTTTTTACATATT